GCACTCTAGTCTGGGCGACAGAGTGAGACTCCAACTAAAAAAAAAAAAAGAGTATATTTCTATATCTCCCTTCCTTTGTACTTTTGTTTTATGCTTTACTTCTACATGTGTAAGAAATTCCAAAATACATTTTTATTCTTATTATTTTTTGAGTTGGAGTCTCACTCCATTGCCCAGGCTGGAGTATGATGGCACGCTCATGGCCACCCCAGTGTCGACCTGCCGGGCTCTGGCGATCCTTCTGCCTCAGCCTTCCAAGTAGCCAGAACTACAGGCACGCGATACCATGTCTGGCTAATTTGTTGGTTTATTGTAGAGATGAGGTCTCACCAAGTTACCCAGGCTGGTCTTGAACCCAAGGGGTGAGGCCAATCCTCTCACCTCAGCCTCCCAAAGTGCTGGGATTACAGGCTTGAGCCACTGCACCTGGCCTAGACAATTATTTTTATTTTTTATTTTTTTATAATCAATATTTTTTATTATGATATTGTGGGGTACAGTTAAGGGTTAGGTATACCAATATGCTTTGTTCAGGCAACCTTGTTGATAAGAGGTGTCTCCCCTTCCCCAGACAGATATTTACTACCGTTAATCCCATCTCCCTTCCCCTCCCCTCCCAGACAATTATTTTATTTAATTTTTTAATTTTTATTTTTTAATTTTTATTTTTTGAGTCAGAGTCTCACTCTGTCACGCAGACTGGAGTGCAGTGGCCACTCCCGGCCACCGCAGCCTCGACCTGCTGGGCTCCGGTTATCCTTCCGCCTCAACCTTCCAAGTAGCCAGAACTACAGGCGTGCGTTACCACGCCCGGCTAATTTTTGATTTATGGTAGAGATGAGGTCTCGCCAAGTTGCCCAGGCGGGTCTCGAACCCCCGGGCTCAGGCAATCCACTCACCTCAGCCTCCCAAAGCGCGGGATTACAGGCTGAGCCACCAAGCCCGGCTGACAATTATTTTAAAAGAGATTTAGATAATAAAAGTTTTTAATATATGAATGTAAACCAAAAATAAAATCCTGAGCTCTCCAACCAACGGAATGGACTCCCTCATGGCCAAGCAAAACCTGTAAAACTAAATTCCAGGCTGTGACGGGAAAGGAGCCTCGTTGGACCCGCTCTCCTTTGGTGCTTTGGCCCAACTGACTCGGATTAACCTTAAAATAAGACTGAAAAATGCTCTGTGGAAATAAGATACCAAATTCGAACCTGACTCTGGCATGGCATCACGTGACAGATAACAGGCCCTATAGGATATAAAAATATTTCACCCAGAATATATTTATTTGACACCTTTTGGGATGGCTCTGCAAGCTGGCTCTTGAGGAAATTTGGATCTGTTGAGAATCTCCTTTCGCAATACTTTCTCTGAAGCTGCTTAGAGTCTTCATCTCCGTACCAAGACCTTTGGCTTCCACAGCCCTCCTTATCGTAACTCAAGCATTTCTTTCTACTGACTTCAGATTCTTTCGACAGAGTCAGCGTTTCCTGTAAACGTCTGTTTTCCTGAGGTGTGTAAGGCTGCAGCCCCGCCCCCCTTGGCCACACGTTCTCGGAACCTCTTGAAACTGAACCCCAGGCCATAGTCACTCATCTTTGGCGCAGAATAAACCTCTTCCAATATTTTTCAGAGTTTGACTTCTTGTCAACACCTATGTAGTTCACCTTTTTTTTTTCTTTTTTGAGTCAGGGTCTCACTCTGTCACCTAGACTGGAGTGCGTGGCACGATCACAGCTTGCTGCAGCCTCAGTCTCCTAGGCCAGGCGATCCTTCTGCCTCAGCCTGAAAATGAATGTTAGCATGGCCAGCAGAGTTTATTAGAGAAAGAGGCGAAAGACAGACATGCCCGAGCTGGCATGGACGAGAGAGAAGCAAAGCCTGCTTTTGCTTTGCCAAACGGCCTTTACATATCCTCACGATGTGGAAATGCCAAAGAGGGTAGAACCCGGTGATCGCTGCTCCAGAGAAGGTGACGTGTCTTCGTCTCTGGCGGGAGGAATGGACATTCTTTCTAACACCTGTCTGCTGGACATTCATCGATCTGTGCCAGCTGCTCTGCCTCGGGACTGTAAGCATGCATCACCACAGACGGGCTAAGTGTTTTACTTTTTGTGGAGACGAGGTCTTGCTGTGTTGCCTAGGCCGATCTCGACTCTCAGGCTCAGGGGATTCATTCTCCCATCTTAGCCTCCCACAGTACTAAGGTCACAGACATGAGTCCCCATGCCTGACTGGCCTCTAGTCATTATTTCTGGCGTTCTTCGTTCCTTTGTGTATCTCTTTGGCATATAGTGATCTTTTTTGTATGAAAGACTTAATATTTCTTATTGTCCAGATCTGCTGCTGGCTAATTATTTCAGCTTTTGTATCCCTAAGAAAGCTTTTATTCACATTTTTTTAAGAGAGAATTTTTGCTGAATGTAGAGTTATAGATTATTAGTTTTTTTGGCTTTTATTTTTTTCTGATGGAAAATCTGCTGTTTTTCTTACCTGAAGTTTTATGGGTCTGATTTTGCCCTTTATTTAATTTTTTTTTTTTTTTTTTTAGTTGGATTCTCACTCCATTGCCCGGGCTGGAGTGCAGTAGCATACTCATGACTACCCCAGCGTTGACCTGCGGGTTTAGGCTGTCCTTCCGCCTCAGCCTTCCAAGTAGCTGGAACTGTACAGGCGTGCGCTTCCACGCCTGGCTGATTATTATTATTTTTTCTTTTTGAGTTTAGTCTCCGTCGCCCAGGCTGGAGTGCAGCAGCACATTCACGACCACCCCAGCGTTGAGTTGCTGGGCTCTGGTGATCTTTCCATCTCAGCCTTCCAAAAAGCCGGAACTACAGGCACATGCTACCATGCCCAGCTCATTTTTGATTTATTGTAGAGATGAAGTCTCACCAAGTTACCTAGGCTGGTCTCAAACCCTAGGACTCAGGCAGTCCACTCACCTTGGCCTCCCAAAGTTCTGGGATTACAGTCTGAGCCACCGAGCCCAGCCCTCTTTTTCTTACGGTTCTTGCTTATAGTACCTTATTTCTCTGTGTGATTGATTTTATATAGAGAGACATATAGACATATACGTGTAGATTTGTATGTCTCTCTCTCTCTAGATATATATATTTTTTTGAGTTGGAGTCTCACTCTGTCACCCAGACTGGAGTGCAGTGGCACGCTCTCCTTGCCAATTGGTTATATTTTTACTGAAAGCTGCTTATTTCCTTTGGAAATTACTTGTGAAAATTCTTTGAGACCTATGATAAAGATGTCTTCCTCCAGAGAGCATGTGTTTGTTTCTTATTGGGGCACTATCACTTTGGAACTACTTTAAATTCTCAGCTTGAGATATCTTGTTTTTGTATGTTTTGACCACTCAGATGACATGAATTTGGGCTCCGTTATGTTCTTTTTTTTTTTTTGAGTTGGAATCTCACTCTGTCGCCCATGCTGGAGTGCAGTGGTACCCTCACGGCCACTGCAGGCTCGACCTGCTAGACTCAGGTCAGCTCAGCTTTCACCTCAGCTTTCTAAGTAGCTGGAACTACAGGCACACGTCACCATGCCCAACTGATTTTTTTGATTTATTGTAGAGATGAGGTCTCACCAAATTGCCCAGGCTGGCCTCGAACCCATGGGTTCAGGCAGTCCTCTCACCTCGGCCTCCTATATATGTTCAAAGGCAAGTGTGAAAATGTTCAGGCATAGGAAAAGTTGTTATATTTAAATTTTCCTAAAAACTAAGAAACTTTTACTTACTCCTTCCTCACCAAAGAGAGGTTTTAGGAAAGTATTGTGTAGATTGATATGCTCCTACATTGTATTGGTCCTTGCAACAACAAAACACACACGCAAACCTCGCTTTTTATTTCTTTATGGTTTCATAGCTTGGATGCTAGTAGCTTGTCACTGGTGTCATCAGCCTCCAGTCTGCCAGATGTTTCCTTGGGCTTCTGAGTCGCACGTTCTCTCTTGTTGCCCCGGGGAACCTGCGCAGAGTGGTGGAGCCTTGGGCAGGTCAGAGCGGTACTTGGCTGTCTTCGGTTCGCTTACTCTGTGCGAAAGAAAGACTTTCAGCAAAAAGAAGCCTGTGTCTGTGGATTCACGTTTTGCTTTGTGTTTCCTTCTAAGGAAGTGGGAAGACTCTTGCCTTTGCCATCCCTGTGATCCATGCAGTGCTGCAGTGGCAGGAAAGGAAGCCTGCTCCTCTCCCAGGTAGCACGGAAGCACCACCGGGAGAGGCTGGAGCTGAGTCTGGCGAGTCGCCTGGTGAGGTTGGCGTTCAGAGTGAGGCACTGCCCGGTGAGCCTGGCGCCGAGGCTGGACCAGCACCCAGCCAGGCCAGCGCCGAGACGGGAGGCACCGCTTCAGGCCAGACGCTGCCCCTCTGTGATGATGATGCTGGTGAAGGGCCTTCTTCCTTGATCACGGAGAAGCCCGTCCCCAGACAGAGCGAGGATGAAGAAGAAACGCTTGGGGAAGAGCAAACCGGAAAGGTGCAGCAAGAATTGGGTGACAGTAGTGCCCCTTGTAACGTACAACTCAAGCATCCTCTGCTGGGACTGGTTCTCACTCCCACCCGAGAGCTGGCTGTCCAGGTCAAACAGCACATTGATGCTGTGGCCAGGTTTACAGGTGAGGTTTCTTTCCATTTTACAAATATTTCCCGAGAAAATCCTAAATGCTGGGTGGTGGAGATGAATGAACTATGCCCCTGCCCTCTAGGGGAAGCCTTTCCCATCTGTCAACAAATTAAGCCCTTCGGAAAATTACAGTAAGTCCCCTGCATACAAATGAGTCTCGTTCCGAGAGCCTATTCTTAAGTCTGCCAATGTTAGCCTACGTACCTAACTAACACAGTTGGCTGTATAATACTTTAATAGAGTTTTCACACAAATAATACAAACAAAAAATAAAACTTTTTTTTTTGAGTTGGAGTCATACTCTGTTGCCCAGGCTGGAGTGCCATGGCACACTCACGGCCATTCTAGCATTGACCTGCTGGGCTCCAACGATCCTTCTGCTTCAGCCTTCCAAGTAGCCAGAACTACCGATGTGTACTACCACGCCTGGATAATTTTGGATTTATTGTAGAGACGGGGTCTTGCCAAGTTTTCTGGGCTGGTCTCGAGCCTGTGGGCTCCCACAATGCAGGGATTACAGGCTGAACCACCAAGCCCGGCTGTAAAAATAAAACATTTTTAATCTTACAGTGCAGTACCTTCCACACACGCGACAGTGTTTGCCAGACATGTGAACTGAGTTAAGTGACTGGACATGCGAACAGAAAGTCACTCACATCTTTGAAAACTCACAACTTGAAGGCTCATGTAGGGCCTAACTGTAATTGAGTGACATTGTCTCAGTTCTTCCAAGGATGATGTATAGCTGCTGCCATTGTAGATGCCGAGGAAGTTAGTTTATTGGATACAGTAGCTGCTTAGGGCAGGGGTGACAGACTGCTGGTTTTCCTACGGTTGTACTGAAAAACAACCATGCTCATTTGGTTTAATATTGTCTAAGGCTGATTTTGTATTGAAAAGGCAACGCTGAGTAGAGTTCAGTTGTTTAAACAGATACAATCCCACCCATAGGGCCAATAACGTTTACTTTGTGACTCTTTAAGTATTAGTTTGCCGACCCCTGCCCTAAATCATTAGAATTTAATTCTCCCAGGAAGTTCCTTTTGGGAAGGGCTGCATGTGGGAATTTAATTTTATCACAAAAGGGTAAGTTGTTATTCCCCTGTGCCAGGGACATTGCTACGCACGTAAGTAGCATGATCCTGTGTGTTCATCCCCACACTTGGATACCGTGGGAAGTTCACCAGGGAGGACAGCAGAACACTGGCATTGGAGGAGCTTCAGATTGGCTGAGGGTGTGGGGACGGCTTCTAGGGGGGGTGTGTCACAGCTGCAGGTAACATCCTTACCAGCATTGTGGTGCAGCCCTGCTCAGTTTTCCCAGCGCTTTGGAGGTCAACATGCCTGGGTTCAAGTCCAGCCCTCTTGCTGTGGTTGGAGGGGCAAGAATAGAAAGAACAGATTAGGCTGGGCTCAACCTGTAATCCTAGCGCTTTGGGGGGTCGAGGTGAGTGGATGGCCTGAGCCCGCGGGTTCGAGACCCGCCTGGGCAACTTGGTGAGACTTCATCTCTACAATAAATCAAAAAATTAGCCAGGCGTGGTAGCGCGCTCCTGTAGTTCCAGTTACTTGGAAGGCGGAGCCGGAAGGATCGCCAGAGCCCAGCAGGTCAAGGCTGCGGTGGCCGGGAGCGGCCGCTGCACTCCAGCCTGGGTGACGGAGTGAGACTCCCAACTCAAAAAAAGAAAGAAAGAACAGATTGGAATAGATTGGAGAAATAGGACACAAATCACAGAAGGCTTGGTAGCCCCATAGGAGTGGCACAAGCAGTCTGGCTCGGCTAGCTCCTTCGCGCCCTTTCAGGCGCAGGAAGCTGTGCTAATGACTCCACCCCTCTTGCGGTGTCTGTGTTAGCCGTGCAAGAGAATAATCAGCGAGGCTGACTGACAGTGTCCTTTATGTTTTCTGTCCCACAGGAATCAAAACTGCTATTTTGGTTGGGGGAATGTCGACTCAGAAACAGCAGAGGATGCTCAGCCGCTGTCCTGAGATTGTGGTGGCCACTCCCGGCCGACTATGGGAGCTCGTGAAAGAAAAGCACCCTCATCTGAGCAGCCTTCGTCAGCTCAGGTGAGAGCTGATGCCTCTCCTTCTCCTCCTCCCCTTTTCTGGACGGAGCCTTGGGTGACAGGATGTGTGCAGTGCCTCTTCCCCTTGCAAGGTGCCATCATCTGGTGCCATCCAGACCCTGACCTTCAGAGAGCCTCACGTGCGTGAAGGAGAGTCATCGAGGCCCCAGGGGTGCTGGTGAGGGTGGTGTGTGTGGAGAGAGAGGGTGTGGTTGGGGTGCTGTCGGTGATTCCTCTTCTCTGCCACTGACCGGGGCTGTGGTCTGCCTGGATCTGCAGGTGCCTGGTGGTGGATGAGGCTGACCGCATGGTTGAGAAAGGCCATTTTGCCGAGCTCTCACAGCTTCTGGAGATGCTGAATGACTCCCAGTACAACCCAGAGAGGCAAACGCTTGTTTTTTCTGCCACCCTGACCCTGATACATCAAGCTCCTGCTCGAATCCTTCAGAAGAAGCACGCCAAGAAGATGGACAAGACAGCCAAACTCGATCTCCTCGTGCAGAGGATTGGCATGAGAGGCAAGCCCAAGGTCGTTGACCTCACGAGGCATGAGGCCACGGTTGAGTCGCTGACAGAGACCAAGATCCATTGTGAGACTGATGAGAAAGACTTCTTCCTGTACTACTTCCTGATGCAGTACCCAGGCCGCACCCTAGTGTTTGCCAACAGCATTTCTTGCATCAAACGCCTCTCTGGGCTCCTCAAAGTCCTGGACATCATGCCATTGACCTTGCATGCCTGTATGCACCAGAAGCAGAGGCTCCGAAACCTGGAGCAGTTTGCCTGCCTGCAAGAGTAAGTTAGGCCTGTCCCCAGAGGCCCAGCTTGTAGCCCCTGGGCTGAGGGCGCCGGGATGGTGGGGAAATGGTGAGGAAGCCATCTTCTGCCGTAGGGTCCTAATGAGCAGAAGGTGGCCTGTACTGTCCCCCCGCTGCAGTAGCATTTGGCAGGGTCACCCTCACTTAATGGATTTGGCTGCTGTTGGTGCCCTACAGAAACTTCCACTATGATGAATAAGGGTGACAATACCTACTGTCAGTGAGTACCTGGACAGTAGATGAGGTCCTGTGCTGGCAGTCCAGATGACGTTATCATGTGCTAGTCATTCACTCTCCTAACATCCTTGAGAAGAAGCAGAATAGATGAATGGTCGAGGGTACAGATTCTGGAACCAGAATGCCTGAGATCACATCCTGGCTTTGTCACTTCTCAGCTGGTCAAGTTATGTAACTTTGCGCTTCAGTTTTCTCTTTACTTAGATAGAAGCTACTTCATAGGGTTGTTATGAGGTTTAAGTGATTGTGAATTCATGCACGTAAGGTATTTGGAAGAGTCTCTGGCACATAAGTGCTTGCTAAATGTTAGCTTGCTTTATTTATTTATTCATTTTCGAGTTGGAGTCTTACTCTGTCACCCAGGCTGGAGTGTAGTGGCACACTCATGACCACCGCAGCCTCGACCTGCTGGGCTCAGGTGATACTTCCACCTCAGCTTTCCAAGTAGTTAGAACTACAGGCATACACCCCCACACCCGGCTAATTTTTTGATTTATTGTAGAGATGAGGTCTCACCAAATTGCCCAGGCTGGTCTTGAACCGGTGAGCTCAGGCAGTCCTCTTACCTTGGCCTCTTACCTTGGCCTCCCTAAGTGCTGGGATTATAGGCGTGAGCCACTGCGCCCTGCCTCATATTTTAATTTTATAGATGATAGAAATGAGCTCTAGAAAAATGTGCCCAAGATTTCTCTGCCTGGAGGTGGTAGGGCTGGGTCTCAGACAAGTCTGTCAGACCCCAGAGCTCATGCGCTTTGTCCTTCCGCCTCTGGACCAGACTGGTGCTCGGAGAGCAGGGTGCGATTGGGAAGTTGAACTGGCTTTTACTTGACAGAGTTTTGTCAGTTTACAGGTGATTAGTTTCTAGAACAAGTGTTTGATTTATCTCTTTTTGAATATTGATAAATGTGAGTGGTTTGAGATGACTTAGCTTAGAGAGGGGCCTGGCAAACTACAGCCTGCATGCCAGATCTTGCCTGTGCCTTTTTTTTCTTTAAGGGACAGGATCTTACTAGGCTGAACTCAACTCCTGAACTCAAGTGATTCTCTTGCCTGAGCCTTCCAGGTAGCTTTGGTGCCTGTTTTTATAGTAAACTTTTATTGGAACACAGAAAGACCCATTTATATGTTGTATGTAGCTGCATTTTGCACTAAAATGGCAGCGTTGAATAGTCACCGTAGATACTATATTGGAAGTGTCATCTGACACTTTTCAGAGAAAGTTGGCAGACCTTGACTTAGAGCAGTAGTTTCACGTTTTGCCAACTTTTAATTTGCATCCCGTTTTCCAACCATAGGTCAGAAGCACTGAGAGCAGGAGCCCTGAAGGGCCAGAATTTTAATGCTGTAAGGCATGCCACAGGTGCTTTTGACTTTTCCTTGAACCACACCTTAAGAAACATCACCCTGCACTTACTTATCACAGGCTAACAGCCGGGCACTGTTCTAGGTGCCGGTCATACAGCAGTCGGTGACGCAAGGTCTTTGCTTTCGTGTGTTTGACGTCGTAGTGGAGGGAGGTGAATGGTCAAGTAAGCCCACAGTGTCGGGTGGTGGTCAGAGCCAAGAAGTAAGTTGCGCAGGGCTGGGGACAGGAGCCTCGAAACCTCTGTGCTGTGGTGCGATTGGAGCAGAGAGCTGAGGAAAGCGATGGAGTGAGCCACGCGGGTCCTGAGGGAAGACCCTTTCGGGCCTGGAGAACAGCAAGCACGCAGGCTTGGAGTTGCAAGCCTGCCTGCACGGCTGGGGAAGAGTGAGGCAGTTGTGCAGCTAAGGGGCGGTGCCTGGGGAAGCGAGAGCAAGGGATTGACGGGAGTGTGTACAGCCTGACTGAGTTCTCTGGAGGGGTCTTTTGTCAAGGCAGAGCAGGGCGTGTGGGTTGGGCTGAGTCCCAGTTTGGGCCCAGACTTCACAGCTGGAAAACCCTGTACACGTGTGTCCTAGGGAGTGAATTTCTCTGAGCCTCCGTTATCTGGAAGGGGGAGATAACCGTGTTAACCTGAAGGGTGTTGCAAAGGGTGTAGTGTTTAGAGTGCTCAGTAGTTGGTGAGGGCTGGGTTCCTGACAGCTGTTAGTTGCAGTTATTAATGAGCTTTCTCTCTCCACCACAGCTGTGTTCTCTTGGCAACAGACGTAGCAGCCCGGGGTCTGGATATCCCTCAAGTCCAGCATGTTATCCATTACCAGGTAGGGGTATCTGGGAATTCATAGGCATCTGCCCACACTGAATGGGGAATCTGTCTCCCTGTTGGTTGCATGTTCTCAGGACCTCCTCAGACTGTGTCCTGGGCCAGGTCACTCATACCGCTTTCTAAAGCAAAGGTTGGGAGAGAGAGAAGGAGTTGTAGGGCCCAAGGCCTTCTGCAGCAGAGAACACACCCACTGGCACCAGGTGTCCACTGCTGCCACCTTTGGAACTCTGCTGAGAGCTAGTCTCTAAAAACCTTCTTGGTGTCTGATGTCAAGGAGTCCTTCTCTCCAGGCTGCTTGATACTGACAGGTTAGAGTCATAGTTTCTTCCACGAGAAATGGGCATAGAGGGTGAAGCATCTAGAGTGGTTTCCGTGGTGTAGAGAAGCAGAAGTGTGTGGCAGGCAAGAGTCTCTGGGTTCAGATCCCCGCGGAGTTGATCTTGAGCAAGTCGTTTACGCTCTCTCTCTGTTTTCTCATCTGGTGTGTGTGGCCGTTACTAGAGTTCCCACTGCCTGGGTTTCGTGTTTTAGACCAGAAATAAAACTCTAAGTCCCTCCACCAACCACACGAACCCCCTCTGGTTCAAAAGAAACCTTAAAAACTAAATTCTAGGCTATGGCAGAAAAGTAGGTCAGACATATCTTATTATGCCCCACCCCTTCTGGAGTTAAGCACGACTGGCCTTAACATTAAAATCGAGATCATAAGACTGACAAAACAGACCCTGGAAATAAGGTAGCAGACGCCAGCCTGACTCAGGTATAGCATCACATGACAGGTAGTAGGCCCTAAAGAAAATAAAACTTTTACATCAAAATGTATTTCTTTGACATATTTCACAATGGCCCTACAAAAGCATCTCTTGAGAAAATTTTGTCTGTAGAGAATCCCCTTCCATACCTCTTTCCCAGGTCCAGCAGAGACTTAATCAAGAGTCTGACATCTTTTAAACTCAAAGGAGACGTTTACCATCTACCTGCTACTTATAGACTTCATCTACCTAACAGGAACCTTGTACTCCATAACCCTCCTTAACTTAACCCAAGCATTTTTTTCTGCCAACTTCAAATTCTTTAGACAAAGTTTAAATCTTTAAAGCAGTTGCTGATTTGAAAAATCTTTGAATCCACCTATAAACTCTAAGGATCCCTCTTTGGGATGTTCCTGTCTTTCCCGACCAAACCAATGTGTACCTTACATATATTGATTTATGTCTTTGCATGTAATGTCTGTCTTCCTGTAATGTGTAAAACCAAGCTGTAACCTGACCACGTTGGACACATGTTCTCAATACATCCTAATATATCCCGGGCTATGGTTACTCATTTGGCTCAAAGCAGCCTCTTTAAAAAAAAAAATTTGTTTTTGAGTTGGAGTCTCACTCTGTCACCCAGCCTGGAGTGCCGTGGCATGCTCACAGCCACCGCAGCCTCAACCTGCTGGGTTTAGGTGATCCTTCCGCCTCAGCCTTCCAAGGAGCTGGAACTACAGGTACTCGCCACCACGCCTGGCTAATTTTTTGATTTATTGTAGAGATGAGGTCTCACCAAGTTGCCCAGCCTGGTCTCGAACCCGTGGGCTCAGGCAATCCTCTTAAGTTGGCCTACCAAAGTGCTGGGATTATAGGCGTGAGCCACTGTGCCTGGCCTTAAAAATGTTTTACAATTTTGGCTTTTTCGTCAACATTAAGGTAAAAATAAGATACTAGGTACAAAGAGCTTAGGAAGCCACCTGACATATTGTTCCTAAACGTCAGCTGCTGTTGGTAGTAGCAGTGATATGCGTGTGTGCACGTTGTGCATGTTAGCACAGCATTGTAGTTAGGAATATGGCCTCCAGAGCAAGGCAGCCAGGGTTGAAATCCTCAGTCTGCTGCTTCATGGTTGGTTAGCTTCAGGCCAGTTATTTGGCACCTGTGGTTTCAGGGTCATTATTTGCGAACTGGAAGCAATAATGCTACCTACCCCGTGGGGTTATCCTGTGAATTAATTGGGAGCTTGTGCTCATGAAGCAGGTAGCACAGTATAGGTTCTCAGTGAATGGGTAAGTGGTGGCTCTTATGGCTTTGCTTTTATTTTTCCTCTTTGTGCTTTTAAAAAGCTTGTAGGGTCCTGTTTCAGTGGGGGAGCAAAATCACAGTCTCATGAAGTGTTTCTTCTCTCAGTCCACAGTAACCAGGGTGGACGATTCCTGTGAACAAATGTGGGGAGGGAGGGCTGGCCCTGCACACACGCAGAGGACACCCGCTGAACGTCCTCTAGTGCAGTTCAGTTCTGATGCGGCCTTCCTGGAAATAGCCTCATATTCCACGGTTAAGGGTCTCTTCACCTCCCCTCCTGTGTAGATGTCAGTCACAGGTTGAGCCTCTGGATCTTCCGACCACCTGTTTTTAAGTTGGGTTCCTACGACTGCTTCTTTGGGTTCACTTAATTTGCTAGAGCAGCTCACAGAGTTCAGGGAAGTGCTTCTTGATGCTTGGTGGAGTGGGGCATAGCCGTTCCGTGGGCTCTTGACTTCACCACACAGGAGAATTTCTGGACGAGTCCAAAATATAGTTGAAGACAGATTATATTAGAAAAACCACGCTCAAGAAAGAGCGTGGGTGTCTTAAAGAGAAAAGTGCTGACCTGCTGTTATCTGAGTGTTTTATGTATTTTCTTAGTGATAATTATGGAGCCTATTTCTCAACCTGTGTGTTACGTGGTGATTGCAGTCTGTTGATCACAAGTTTCTATTCTTCTCGTCTACTTCTGAGCTTACTTGTATCCTGTAAAAATCTCGAGATAATGGTAAAAGTTACTGTTGTACAGTTGTTCCATGGTTTAAGTTTCTTCCTGAAAGCACCATCTCTTAGTGCCTCCAAGTAATTCCCTTATTGCCTTGTTTGGTTTCTGTAGCTGAGTATATCAGCCGCCCTGCATTCCAAGGTTGGATTTGGGTGCCTGCTCAGCCTTAGTGTTGTTCTAGGGAGTTATGTCCTGATAAGATGGTGTCCAGCTGGATGGCCGACCATCTGTTCATCTAATTATCACAGAATTATCTAATTCTGTGCCTGCCTGCAGGAGACTCCTCAGTCTCTAAGCTATACTGGCTACTCCACCTCACTTATATTTACTTCTTAAGATAGACTCGGAAGAATGAAGGGCAGTGTGTGGGGGAAGGAGCTTGACCTTCCATGCCCCCCCTGGGTGCGCCACCCTCCAAGAACCTCCTCAGGTTCGGCTGTCCAGGCTCTCGGAACTCTGTCCTTTTGGGCCTTTTTGGAAACGTCATGTCGTGATGCGGACGCGATGGGTTAAGCCGTTGGTGATCAGCTGAACCTTTGGGACCCCTCTCTTCTCCCTGGAGGCTGGGGGATGGGGGCTGAAAGTCCCAGCCCTCTAATCCTGCGTTGGTCTTCCTGGTGACAAACCCCCATCCCGAAGCTGCCTAAGGGCTGCCAGCCCTCAGGCCATCCTTGGCGAACCAAAGACATCCCTTGGGCGATTCTGGGCCTTAAGCCTTGGATGCCATGAGGTGGGGGTAAGGAGAGTTTCATAGTGTCCCAGTGTTGCAGATGGCAAGCTCTGCTACTCATCACCTTGACTTGCAGGCCCAGATGAACAAGCTTGAGCTGTAGTACAAGGAAGGCAACTTTATTTCAGAAAGCCAGGCCTGTGCCTCAAAGAAGCCCTTTCAAAGTTGTGGGCCGAGGGCAGGGGGCTCATAGGGAAAAGAGGGAGTGAGGGGCACAAGCGTGGTCCGGGATGCAGCGCTCCGGGTCCCGGTTCAGCGGTCACTCTCAGTTGCTGTTCTGGACAGTTGCCTTTCCGCTGTGGTCAGGCGCTAGATCAGCTCTTTGCCGGGGGTCTCCAGGTGCTGGTCACTTCTGAGCAGTGAGGCTGTGGGCAGTTTGTTCCAGAACAAGCCTTTGGAGTTTTTTTTTTTTTTGAGTGGGAGTCTCACTCTGTCGCCCAGGTGGGAGTGCAGTGGCGCACTCATGGCCACCCCAGCATTGACCTGCTGGGCTCCGATGATCCTTCTGCCTCAGTCTTCTGAGTAGCTGGAACTACAGGCACATGCTACCATGCCCGGCTAATTTTTGATTTATTGAAGAGATGAGGTCTTGCCAAGTTGCCCGGGCAGGTCTTGAACCCATGGGCTCAGGTAATCCACTCCCTTGGCCTCCCAAAGTGCTGGGATGTCAGACTGAGCCACCGAGCCTGGGCAGCCTCTGAAATTTTTAAAGCACACATCCAATGAGAGCGACGGGTATGTACTTAATTATAGCCATTGGTCATTGGATCATTGTATAGAGGGAGCCCATGAGGAAAAGAAAGGAAAAAGGACACAAGTGTTTCTGTAAGCTGTACTGTGAAGGCAGCAACAAGCAAACCGTTTTTAGAAGCTGGGATTCTCAGTTACAAGTGCCGGGCTCGTTTTAGCAAGCCTCTCCTCTTCCTCTTCTTGGGTCGGGGCTGGGTCAGCCTTTGCGAAGAGACCAAGATGAACCAAGCACAGTCCCAGGCCCTAGGAAGTGTCAGGCCTGGTAGCGGAGGTGAGAGACCACAGACGCAACTGAAGGCAGGAGCTACTAAAAGCGTGTCGAATTCAAGGAGGTCGGCGTTTGGGAGGATGGAGGGTGCTTCCTGAAAGGTGCTCGGCGTGTAAGGGCGAAGAGGATCTGGACTCGCGGAGACAGAAGAGGAAGGAGGAGAGAAATGGGCGGTGCTCAGGGGCTCCGAGGGAGAAGACGGCTGTGTCGGGCGGGTGGTTGTGAGACGGCCAGCCACCGCCGGCCCCGAGTGTCGGGGTGAGGGTTGGGCCTCGGTCCTCTCGGCAAAGACTGACGGGTGGCTCTCGTTCCTCGAACTGCCAGCAGCAGACACAGCGGCTGCTGCGAGGGGCACGGAGATGCTCTCTGGGCGCGGTGGAGAGGACTCTTGAGCCTGGTGGAGGGTGTGCGCGCTGGAGAGGGGGCCGGGTGTCAGTGCCATGGCACGTTCGCGGGATGATGTGTCCCGCAGCAGAGGCGTGGCGCCCAGGGCCCGAAACGGTGTGTGCAGCTGGGCTGCTTCCGTGCAAATCCTGGCTCTCCCGCTTCGTAGGGCAACCTAGCGGGGAGTTCCTTAGCCTCTCTGTGTTTTGGCTTTCTGGTCTAAAAATACGGGCAGTCATAAGGTGTTTCGTGCCATCGTGAGGCATAAATGGGGCAGTACAGGCAGAGTGCTTAGAATTGCCTGGCCCAGCCTACTCCCTCAGTCCATGTTGACTCTCCGTCATCCACGCAGAGTTCAAGCAGAGCCAGCAGGGTTTCTTGAGCTAGGGGACATACTGTGGCAGAGCTGAGACTCAGGAAGGTGACACCGGCAGCTCGGGTTAGGGGGCGTGGGAGGACCAAAGACCAAACCAGAAGTGACTGTCGTGGCCCAGCTGAGTGATCCGGAGGGCCTGGGCCGGCGTGCGAGGCCCAGGACGGGAGCCCACACCACCAGTCGGCTGAACCGGGGCCAGCTTGCATGTGGGATGGAGGGAGAGGGCGAGGTCTGTGA